TTGTGTCAAGTATGCTGAAGATGACTCAACTTAAGGGACCAAGCTGAACTTAGAAGCACTTTGTGCCATCCCTGAAAGACTTTTGTGCAATCCAATTCCAGAAAGTCTCATGCCATAGCCTCATGTAGCTCACTGTAACAAAGAACAAACACTTTTCTCAGAGATGACCAAGTTAGGCACTCTAACCAGACCATCTTGAGGTTAGATGGACCTCATGCTGTCAAACCTGTAGGGTTTTTGGCGCTGCTTTAACAAATGGCTCTCCTTGAGCTCCTCTAGATGCCTATAACACAAACTCCAAAAACCCTATTCCACACCCCCTTGTAACCCTAACCCTAACCCTAACCCTAACCCTAACCCTAACCCTAACCCTAACCCTAAACCCTAACCCTAAACCCTAACCCTAACCCTAACCCTGGTGTTTCTGATATGGTGGACTTGCACTGGTCCTTTGCTGATAGTTCTGACGTGGTGGTTGATGCGGGCGAGGCTCATAGCTCTGATAGCGCTCCTTGCGCGGCGGCGCTCTGTCCGTGTCCTGACGGTATCCCTGATACGTCTTATATGTTGGGTTGTTGAAGCTATTGGCGCGCAGGCCATCTTCAAGGTTCATGATAAGTCGACGGAACTCTTCCAGCGTAGTTGAGGTGTTGACAGACGAGTGAATGAACGGGTGCATGCTGATTGGCATACCCATGATGATCTCTTGGATCTTCATCGACGTCTTCAGCCCATTACTATAGCGCTTGTTGATGAGATTGAGCTTGTCCTGGAAGTATGTGGAGAACGGTTCATCTGGACGCAGACGGCGTCGAGAGAGCTCCATGTGGATCTGATCCAAGTAGTTGGGTGCTCTGAACGCGTTACGGAAGGCATCCTGCCAGTTGCCCCACGTATGGTAGTCATAGCGCTGATCCTTCAGGCCGACAAACCAATTGCGTGCGCTGTGCTCTAGCAGACGTGGAATAAGCTTCAGTAGCTGACTCTCCGTTTGACCGGAGAACTCATAGATAGCTGTGACTTGTTCAAGCCACGTGTCCACGTCACGCTTGCCTTTATATGATCCATCATACTTAGGGAAGTCTTCTACACGGAGTCGAGCTGGCGTCTCTGCGGCAGGCTCGCGCGTAGTCTCGCGCGTATAGGGGCTGATAGTAGCTCTCGTACGCTGTGGTGGTTCCTCTTCTTCATGCTGCTGTTGTGGAGCAGGCGCTGATAGTGCTCGCGCCAGCATCTGTTCCATACGCTGGATAGTGGAACCCAGTTCCTGGATCTTAGCCTGATCCTTTGTGCGCTGCGCAATGTCTTGTTCACGCTCTTGTTGGTGTTGCGCAATGTCTCTGTTGCGCTCTTGTTGGTGCTGCGCTCTGTCTTCAGCCCTTTGCTGATCAAAGCGCTCTTGTAGCTCCGTCATACTGGTAGCTAGTAGCTCGTCATGGAGCGTTGTCCGCTCTGTCCGCTCTGTGTCCTGTTGTTCTTGCTGCGCTTGCTGCGCTTCTTGTTGCTCTGGTAGCGTTGTACGTGGTGGAGCTGAAGGTGAACGGCGTCCTGTGGCCAATGCTTCACTCATAGTTTGGCGGTTCCTACCGCGGGTGTTCAAAGCGATGTCCGACATCGTATAATCTGATACGTCAAGCAAGACCCGGTCTTCTTGAGTAGCAGTACCTTGATCAAACACAAGGTCGTCTACTTGCACTGGTGTCCGACAGTGGGTAGACCGCGTTGGCTCAAACCTGGCTTCAACGGGGACTCAGCAGCATTTTTGGCAGCCCTGCTGTAGAAGGAGCTACCTTCTCTTCTTCCTTACCCTGGCAAGGAAGGTACAAGCACCAAGTTCTGAACTTGTGCTGAGGCTATAAGATGACGCTTATACCTAGAGGATCCCGGATCCTACAGTCTTGATGCGTCCACCAAGCTGTTCTTAAGTTCCACAGTCGAGTTTCCTTTAGCTGGTCCCCTGCAGTGGTCACCAAATGTAACGACGCATCCTCCGAGTGAAGACGTACGCCTGCGCAAGTAAGGTCCTTGTGCAATTGAGCAGAGGGCTAGCTGTTGTTAGGCGGCGGAACTCGACGGCAGTAGGCTGTGGAGAAGGGGAGGAGGTGAGTGGGAGACAGCTGGGTGATCAGGCCAGTGTCGGGCGGCAGTCAGATGTGGAGGTCAGTCGAGGAAGTGGGCAGGAAGATTGGGTGAGGGAAAGTTGTATTGCAAAGTGGGAGAGGCCTTGGGGGGCCTCTATATATATCTTACAGGTCTTTCTGAGAGACAGAGTGTGTTGTGTAACAGAATGTGTGAGAAGTAGAGTGAAATGTCCCTGAGGCAGAGTGAAATGTCTCTGAGACGGAGAAGAATGTCTGAGAGACATTCTTATGCGCGAGGTGCATATGAATGCCTGAGAGACATTCTGACTGCATGAACTATGTCTGAGAGACATTCTTGAATGTGTGAGAGACATTGTAGAATGTCTGAGAGGCAGAGTGGTGCTCGGCGCGCAGTGGTGGATGTGTATGAGTCAGAGTGTGGGGCGCGCAGAGCATAAGGCATGGATTTGGGTACAGGACAGCGTCGCTTCTTTACAGCAACCATCAAGCTCTTGATCAGCTCTTGATGTTCCTAACCATCAACAAAGAGTTGTACAACCAGCTGACTTACACGCGTCGGGAGCTGGCATTGGCGGCGGAAGCAAGTGCACTCTCTCGCTCTGAGCGCCTTGATCTTCAGGTGTACCGCAGGCATCAGACTGTCCTGCTGCATGAAATTTTAGTGCAACGCAATGCAATTCAGCGTCTTTGTTTGGATTTTGACATCTTGCGCTCCAACTTACAAACCCGATGTGAGGCGCAAGCCGTCAAATTGAGGAGCTCTGTGCAGCTCTGTCCGCAGCGCACGCTTCCCCAAGGGAGGGGGAACAGCAGCTTGAAGAGGCAAGGCAAGGCGCAAGAGACTTGGCGTCCTCTCTCTAAGCTTGAGCAATGCTGCTCACTAGACAGACAGAGGCCCACGCGCCCCTTGGTAACAATACATTGCCCTCTCCTTCATACCTTCAAGCAAGATCTTGCCCTCTTGCTACAGAATGAAGCCGCACGCTCTTGTGCAAGCAACTCCCCCAGGTTTTCTACAGATTTTCTTGTTCCTTCATTGGGCACAAACCCGCAGCAAGGCAATCGCCTGCTCGCTTTGTATCCCCAACCCGTCGGCTGATGTCCCACACGTTGCGTTCGCTATAGTTGCCAACTGATCCACGCCACTCAATGCTCCTTAAACTCATTATACACAAGCTACTCAGGTTGCCAAGTGCCGACGTCTACAGATTCTCTTGTTCCTTCCAAACTCGTTGACTATCACATGGAAGAAGAACCCATCATTGCCGTAGTACGTGGCTGCCCACTGCCAGACAAGGCTCTCATCTCTATGGAACCAGCAATATACTGCCTCAAGAAGCTGGCTGCAACATGCTTGATGAGCGGCGTCAGGGAGGCGGACGATACCCGCTGCCTTGGTGAATGACGACGGCATTCAAATTTCTCACAAGTCGCGCGGCACGTGAGTATGAACGTGATCCATGTTTTGTCGCCCCGCACGTTGTGCGCATACCGCGCGTCCTGAATCCACGTGTTGTGCATCAGATGCTGCATGTTGCACTCTCACGCGCGCACGTTGCATCTTGCCGCAGAGGCAAAAATGAAGACAAAAGCGATCGGGCCCTTGCTTTGCTACCTCCACCATCTCGACCCGACGCGCGCCGCACGCGCGATTTCCGTAAAGTAGGTCTTAAGTGCAAGACGGGACGAAGGCCAAGGTGGGGAGCGGACAGGCTCCGAGTAGCTATAATTGAGAATATGCACGCGGTGGATGGTATATCAAGTCTTTTCGCCCAAAGTGCGCCAATATGGCCGCACAGGTCCTCATCGTGCTAAATGGCGACTGCGCTCGCTGCGCGCCGTGCGCATGGGTAAGCCACGCGCGTTGTGCGCCAAGCGCGCGCCGGGAAGCTCGAATCGATCACTTCGCCACCACAACTAGCCCAATCATCTGTAAGTGTAGGTGCAAGATAAGCACCCTCAATGCAGTCACATTTGATTGCTCCATTCCAGTCGATGCGACCAGGTAGAGTGCCTGACAATCGTGAGAGCATGGTATCTTCGCGATTGGGTACTCGTAGTGCCGGGAGCTCGAAGGACTCGAGATGCTCTCGACGGTGAGCGATGAGCTCTTGTGCCTGCTGGGTGTCAGGGCAAGTCTTTCATAAGGTGTCTCGCTGGCCTTGGTTTCGCTTTCCCCCCGTCACCCCCATTCTATCCTACCCCTCTACCCAACTCCCCTCATCTGATCCATCCAAAGCCTGAACTTTCTACCAATGTGAGTATTGCTCGATCGTGCGCGCGCGCGCGGCCCCTCTCCTTGCTTCTCCAACGGCTCACTTTTACGCTCTCCCATCACTTGCGCTTTACACGCCCAGCTTAAGACCGCTCAAGATGACCGGTCATCGACGCAAGGTGCAAGCGCACCAGCCTCCTCATCGCAGTCCGCCGCTGCCGACGCTCCATGCTCGTCTTTTGAGCATGGTGCTTCTCGCGACGATGGTCTGCGTCTGGGTGTCGACTTCGCCCACGTCGGCGCGCGATATCAACCTGCGTGTGTACGGCGCTCAAAAGCGTAGCCCCGACCCCGTTGAGGCCGACACACAAAGCTTTGCGCACAACAAGCGCTACGATGAGTTCGCTCTCGACGAGAGTCTTGCAAGCAAGGGCAAGCTGGAGCCGAGCACTCTCTCTGGTCGAGTCGAGGTTGGCGCCGCTACAGCGCTCGTCGGCCTTGACAAGCGCTCACCCGAGTCGGAGAACCCCAAACCGTGCGACCCGTGCTGTGCAAAATCTTGCGCGTACTACAACAATTGCGACAATGTGTGTCTCAGGAACCCGACCTGCAAGGTCTGTCAGCCTCCTCCAAAGCCCACCGCATGGAAGAGTCGCCGCGACATATCTAATCCCCCGCACGCCGACCAGAGCAACGCGGGTCAAGTCTACGACAAGCGCGCCGCCGACGGCCCTTTTGACACCGGCATCGGTACGTCAAACTCTCTGCATGAGAGAAGCGCTGCGTCCAGTCCACCGCAAACCGAGCCGGCCGACTCACGCCTCTTTTCCAAGCGCGAGACCGTCGACTTGGTATCGACCGCCGCTTATCTCACCGAGCGCAAGACTGGACCATGCGAGGCTTGTTGCTATGCCACTTGTGTCGAGAAAGGTACCTGCGACAAGCCATGCCATGGTCCTAGCACGTGTAGTGGCTGTCCTGGTTTCAAGTTTCCCCCCGCGTACGCTGAACCGGCTGATAAGCGAGAAGAGCTTCTTCTATCGGCACGCGGAGACCTCAAGCACGGAGACGAAAACCACGCCTTGGACTACGTTAAGCGCAATCGAGCCGACCCTTCTCATGCGGCAACAGTCAACACTCTCGTACGTCGTGACTTGACCTGCTCCCCTTGTTGTCCCTCGGTCTGCGCAGTCTTTGGCTTGTGCAGCACCACCTGCCATGGACCGTGCGACTGCGGCGTAGCCAAGCGTCTCATTCCTGACGAGGTTGTCCACTTTGGCGATGTCGACGCTCT